TTCCACTTACCAACGGTATTCTCCTGGACCAGTTTCCTGTTTTTCCTCCTTGAGAGTCCTTTTGTCCCGTACTATCCCGTCTTGTCCTGAACTGGCCTAACCAATCCTGAATCCTTATCTGGACTAACCCAATCCTGAATCCTTATCTGGACTAACCCAATCCTGTATCCTGTCCTGTCCGCAGCGCCAATTTTTGTTGTGGTCCTCTTCAGAAGGGCCAACTTGTTGAGGGTCTTTTCGGGTGTGAAATTAATGTACACTGTTGTTTTTTAATATAACTTAACTTTAATTATGATAAACTAATTACAATAGTTACCCTGAGGGAAACTGTGAAAAATAATAACGTGTTGAAGAGTAAAAAGAGAGTTGAAGAGCAAAAGTAAAAGAGTGTTGAGCAAAAGAAGTATGTGACTGAAACAGGGTTTTAGCAAAAGAGAGTGTGAGGGCCTGTCTTGCAGTTCCTTAAATAATATCTAAGCTACAGAAATGCCAGAGGCGTACAGTACAATTTTTATATCCTTAATCTAATATTCAGAGCAGTGGACGACACTGCCCTAAACTTACATTATTCAGATAGACAGACGTCTGCGAAAGCTATATAAATTTATGATCAAAATTCCCAACAGTAATAGTTAAAGTTATCAATTAGAATTATATTGTAGGGTCGTTTATGACCTCAAAGGTATTAAGGTTTTTATTAGAGATGGGACATTCCTAAACTAATATTACAAATTTGATTAAAATGAGGACGGGATTATAACAAAATTTTACATCGCGGATTCTTGTAGAGCATAAAATTTACTAAAAAATCTATCTGAGAGTATTTTTTTTTCAGTTCAATAATTCGTATATTTGAAAGCTTTGAAAAGTGAAAAAATCACTAAATAAACATTAAAACTGCATTTTTTCACTTTTCAAAGCTTTCAAATATACGAATTATTGAATTGAAAAAAAATACTCTCAGATAGATTTTTTAGGAAATTTTATGCTCTACAACAATCAGCGATGTAAAATGTTTTATCGTAAACCGTTTCAAAGTTATGGCACTTTTAAATAAAAAGATTTTTTTACGTGTTATTTAAACTGGAAAACTTTGAATATCCACCGGCACCTTTTAAAATTGAGCTAGAAATTTTGCCTTCCAGGGATATTTTTTTCTCGGTTATTAGGTTCATTTTAAGCCATAAATGCCATGTTTTTTGGCTCATCCTAATAGTACGAGAGCTAGCAACGTCGGAAAAACAAGTATTTTAAGACGTCTGGCTCTTTGATATTATCTTTTACCATAGATTTAGTAAGAACAGATATCACATTAGACATTTTAACCCGATCAAACAATCGGAGGTTGACTACGTATTGTAAAACCAACTGAGATAGAGAAGGCGACATTGCCACATTTCAAATTTGCGCCTATTTACTTAGTTTAATTTGCAGAAAAGGTGACTTTAAAACCTTTACCGGATATCAATAAATCTCAATTTCTTAATTAAATGAATAGTTTATTTTTAAAGAAGCATGCGTAATAATATGTTATTAACCAGAGGATATATGCGTTACTATTAAAGGACATGTTTAATGTGCTGAAACGTCTAGAACTATTGGCAACGTCGCTGCTAGTCTTCCAGAATGAAATGAGCCGTCCGTCCCACCACCCCTCGCGACGGCCATTGGTCCGTTATAGCGTACTACGTTTAGCTTACGGTGTGTTTGAAGTCGGAATCAAGTCCGAAGTGAACTTTTCAGTGTTTTTCAGTAGTTTTTGCTTTTGTTTAACGTACTTTTAAATTTGCGAATTTTCAATATGGTACGACAGTGTCAAATGTGTGGAAAAATAAGCTCAAATTACCCGAATTTGTCTCTTCACAGGTAGGTATTTTTTCCGCCGCGCCGTAATCGCCGTACATAGGCGTCCCACAAGGGAGCCTCTCACAATTAAAATAATTTCTAATTATATTTGTTGAATTTTGAGTTATTAAAACAAGAACGTAGTAGCCGGTAATTGAATTATAATTCGTCTCAATTACTACTTAACTGTTGTAGATCATAACAAATTTGTATATAAACGTTGCATTTGAAACTTTATTATAAGCCAGAAAGTGACATTTTTTTTCTTAAAATCATATTTTGGTCATTATATACGATATTCTAAAGGAATTTTGCTCAACAAATAAACAAAGGTGTTTACCCGCCCTTTTTTTACATTTTATTGCATTATTATACCTGCCCCTTCGGCCTCGTTTAAACAATTTTTTACCACCGTACAAATACCTATTCCTAGAGTTATTTGTACGGTGTGTTTATCTTTTTTTAGAATGGGACGAACTGTAAATAATTCTTAGGCTACTAGTTTTATACATACCTATATACAGAGTGACCCAGGCCTCCAAAAAAGCTTTTTACCTATTACGTTTTAGGTTTGTAATTTTTATTTCAATTTTTTACATAAGATGGGGGCCATTGTAACGCACATTTTCAAAATATTTTTGTCAACATACAGGGTGATTCTCGGGGTGATTCAAACCGCACAATACATATGCTTAATACAGTTCATGAAGATTGGGACATTTAACTAAAATTTGATTGTCTGATGAAGCTACCTTTAAAAGTAATGGATTTGTAAATAAACGTAATATTCATTATTATGCGACAGAAATCCCATACTGTAGCACACAGATTTGATACTTTTAGTGATAAATGCCTTTTATTGAGAGACTAAAAGGTAATTGCCTCGTATCAGAGCCATCATAATACAAGAAGAAGACCGAAAGTCAAATTTTGTCTTATATTTTCAAAAAAACACAATTTTCTCATTAAATATTGATTTTAGGTATAGGAAGTTATTAATAATACAAGATTAAACAACTATTACATAGTACTTTACAGGAAGCTAACGATTGCGAACTAACTAAATCGTTACTAATTACTAATTTTTAAAAAGTTCTTTTAAGATCAAAAAGGTAAAACTGAAACCTAAATTATCATTTGAGATTAAACGGGAAGTTCTAAATAATGTTGCCTATTCTAAACAAGAGAAAAATTTATTTATAAGTTTTATAACATCTCTAATTAAATTTGGACGAAAATAATATTTCTGTTTACTGTAGGTAATTTTCTCAGGGAAAATACGTAAATAAAAAATGACTTTTTAAGTCAAAAAAGTCAAAAGGACAAGTTGTTCAAAAAGGACTGTCCTTTCAAAAAGGACAGGTGGCAACCCTAGGTATTTCTGGAATGGAAATTTAATGGCAAATCTACAACTTTAGTTTGAAAATATGTTCCGGCCACCTATGTTTACAAAAATGTCTAAAATGTGCTTTCACCATTGCCTCCATATTCTGAAAAAAATTGAAAGAAAAGTCACCAACCACAAACCTAATATAGAACTGTTTCGGAAGCCTGAGTCACCCTATAAATATTCAAAAGTAACTGAAAGTTTATATAGAATTAACTGAAAGTTTAAATTAAAAATCGACGTTGGAGCGATTTTCGAAAACTACCTACTAACGTTTCAACATAAGTATATGTGGGATATTAATTATATTATTATATTAGGCCTTATAACAAAACTCATCTGACGAAAAAGTGTTAATGTAGTATATTAATATGGAGTAAACATTTTACTAATTACTTTACTTTTACTTTACTAATTAAATTCGTTCCAAAAAACGATACGCCACTGGCCATTAGAACAATCCAAATGCGTCTACTTGCCGGGGTCGGAAATTTTAGATTTCTCTGTCTCTTCTGTCCTTGTTTGACACATTGGAATGTTTGATACACTACCATCGAGTATTTATGAATGAGATAGATGTTCGGTCTATATTTATAATGTCTTTGTCTTTTACTATGCTCTCTAGAACAGCATGCAGCCCGTCTGGCTGCCGGTAAACGTTGCGTTCGCTACTGCGTATTGAAAGAAGATCCTATATTTCTATTAGTCCTTTAAATTCTAGTATTGAATATAAATCCAACATGTCTCCATAGCGCAGTGCGTAGAGTTTCCGACCACGAACCGATTGATTGAATATTTGTTTTTTTGAATCACCAGATTTATTTAATATTTTACTATCAGAATATAAACGAAAAAAAAAATAAAATAAAAAAGTCTTTGGCCTGACCCGGATTCGATCTCTGAATCATCGGTTTGTGGTCGGAAACTCTACGCACTGCGCTATGGAGACATGTTTGATTTATATTCAATACTAGAATTTATAGGACTAAATTAATAAAAAAATAGGATCTTCTTCCGATGCGCAGTACTAAACGCAACGGGTATCGGCAACCAGACGGGCCGCATGCTGTTCCAGAGAGCATAGTAAAATATATATCAAAGAGCCAGACGTCTTAAAATACTTTCTCGAAAACGTTGCTAGCTCTTAGACTATAATACCTAGTACAATATTTAAATATTAAAATCGCAATCGTAGGTTACAGTCGCGGCGATTTAAAAATCGCAATTGCAGTGTCAATTGCGATTGGAGAATCGCAGTTTTGCTCATCTCTACTTCTAAATATTCTTTCGAAAATGTATTTCGTGAATACTGTAGAGGCCGCTTAAGAATTGGTAAAAGTGACAAAGTGGTAAATCTAGAATAGAACAGGGCAACGACCTAACTACGTCGAAACACCGGTTCCCATTAGAACACCGAAGTTAAGCGACGTAAGGCGATGTTAGTGGATGGACGGGTGACCGGTTCGAAACTCTGTATCGTGCTGTTGTCCAAAAAAAGGCAAAAGTGTAAAATCTATTGACACACACTGCTCATTCACGCCGGTTCGAGGCCGGATGAGATCGGATATCTCGTTAGTAAGAGTCGATTTAGACACTTGCCAAGTCGGTAGGCCATTGACCATGATATGGCCGAGGACCGGGGTTCGGATTTGCGTAAACAAAGTAGTCCTCGTCCAGATTAGCCCTGGCAGCAAAAAGGAAGCGTTAACTGATATCTTTACTTTACTTTGGAATAGAACACTTCTAATGAACTTTTTATTATCGACAGGTGTGTAGTGAACAAATTCCTTACAATGGAGGTTTGTTGGCTTTAAGCTCCTTCGGACTTGGTGGTACGAATGGTCACGTCGTAATTAGGCCATATTTAAGAAACGTTCCTTCAATTACACCCATTCAACCACCAAAAAAGCGTTTGGTCTTAATTTCAAGTCGTACCGAGGAAGGGGTGCAAAAAATATTTGATAAAATCGAAGAAAATAGAAATAACCTACCATTTTTAACTATACTGGATAACATCGCTGCAAGTTTACCAATTGAACATTACAGATACAGGGGCTATAAAGTTTTAAACACCGATACTACGGGTATTTCGAAGTGCAATAATACCAGGCCAGTATGGTTTTCGTATAGTGGTATGGGTTCACAATGGCCCAAGATGGGTATGGATTTGATGCATATAAATGTATTTAGAAAAAGCATTGAAAAGTGTGCTAACGTCCTGAAACCGTTTGGTTTCAATTTAATAGATGTTATCACGAACCCGAATGAACATTATGATGATCCCGAAAAATGTTTTCCTGCAATTATATCGGTTTCAGTTGCGCTGACGGATATTTTGAATGCTGTTGGTATAAAACCAGACGGAATAATCGGGCACTCTCTAGGAGAAATAGGTAAGTAGTTTTAAAACTACAAGATTTTTGATGCATTTTTTACTACCACTTTAATAAAATTAATTGAAGACTTGAAATAATGTTCAAAGTACCAAAAAATCGGTTTGTCATTTTTTTTGTTAAATGTCCTAAGTTCCTATCATAGATAAAGGAAATTTAGAATTGGAATGCACGTCAAAATTTTGTGTCAAATTGTTTAGGGTCGCGACCATTGTATACGTGATCTGGCACTGCTATAGCGGTTGCTATGATCAACCGCCAAACAATAACAGAAATAATTTTCTCTTGTCAAAGTCAGAATCTTTAAAAATTATAAAATTTTTCAAAATCTAAACCGCTCTCATTGAAAAAATTCCGAAAAGTGTTTAAAACGTCCATTTTCAAAGTTATTATTGCTATCTTGTGAGTTTAATTTAAATTTTATTTACTCAAACCCGTGATAATTATGAAAAAGTAGCATTAAAAACTTAAAAAGTTGTGCTGTGAACTGTGAACTATCGTGGACATAACGTCGGTTTCCAATGTTTCATAGGTATTTCAAACATGTCCTTATATAAAATAAAGTTTCTTGAATGCAACACACTGTATTTTATTTATAAAATTAAAAGAAAATAATAATAAATTTAAATAAATAATATTTGGCGATATAATTCCGGAAAAAGCCGAACCGCTCCGAAATTTTCAAAAACTTTGGGTCGCGATCGTAGCAAGAATAGTGCCAAATAGTGTTTACATTGTCCTTATGGGCACTTTCCAATCTAAACTTGTTTCATTTATCTATGGTTTCTATAACCAACAACATATATAAAGCGCTAAGTGCCACGGCTATTAAATTGTATTGAAAATTTCACACCTCTACTTTTCAACCAATAACATGCTTTAATGTTGACTAGTTACCATGGCAACTGAAAAAATTTCCGGAAATTTTTTCGAGGCGCCACGAAACTTTAGTGGAAATTTTTTGACAGTTGAAAAGGTAAACATAAGATCTACAATCATAATGTGAATGAACTACAATGTCTATATATTGAAATATTACCCATTTGAGTTTTAGCATTTGATGTAACTAATTGGATATAATAATATTTGTTAATATTATTAACAAATTGAAATTATTTTAAAATGTCATGTTGGATTAATATTTTTTTTCAAATTTAGGTGTGAAATTTTCTTACCGAATACCACGCAAGCTTAAATTATTCCTGGAAATTTTCTTTCGGGCACGAATATTTTAGGAAAATTATCCCTCGTCTTCGACTCGGGATAATTTTCAAAATATTCGTGCCCTCAAAAAAATTTCCGAAAATAATTTAAGCTCTTGTGATATTATAAGTGAAAAAAAATCTTAACAGAGACACTGCGCGTTATTATACATATTGGTTATACAGGGTGGTCCAAACTGTATTTCGGAAACTTCAGCAACATATTCTGCAAATAAAAATAAGTAAAAAAGTTCCTACAAATGTATGCCCTAAACTGATTAGTTTCGGATATACAGAGTGTAGAAGTTTCATTTTTATTTCGATTTTTTCCAAATAATTTCTCAAGTAACGGTAATATTTGGACGAAAATTGGCGTTTGGGAGTTTTTTGACATAAGAAATTTGATTTTGATGTTAATATAACTCCTACTTGTAAGGGACGCAACCTATATATTTTTTAACTGGTTTGAAGAGTAATAACTTTTCGTACCTACTTGTATAAAACTACTGAGTAAAAAGATATACATCTACGACGTTTTTACGTCAAAAAGGTGTCTTGGTAAAAATCGCTACAAGTAATGGTTCTCGAGATATTTGGAATCTAAATTATCCATACCTGTCATCTTTCATATAAATTAAACATGTTGACTAAATAATTATTAGACTGAAATCATAAATTTGAAATGTTTTTGTGCCAAAAGTTTTGAAATAAAAAGTTCACAAATTTATCATTTCAGTCAAATAACTATCTACACATGTATATTTTTTTGTCAATAATGACATGCATCGACTATTTCCATTCTAAATATCTTGAGAACGGTTGCGATTTTTACCAAGAGACATTTTTTACGTAAAAAATCACGGAGATGTTTATTTTTTCACTCAGTAGTTTATACGGGTACGGACAAAAAGTTATTACCCTTCAAAACAGTTAAAACAAATGTAGGTGGCGCCCCCTACGAATAGTCATACTGGTATCAAAATAAAATTTCTCATGACAGAAAACTTTTAGACGCCAATTTTAATCAATATATTATCGTTACTTCAGAAATTATTTGGAAAAAATCGAAATAAAAATGAAACTTCTACACCCTGTATCTCCGAAACTAAACATTTTAGGACATACATTTATACGAACTTTTTCACTTATTTTTATTTGCAGCATACGCTACCGAAATTTCCGGAATACAATTGGGACCACCCTGTATAACAATCGGCACTTATAAACATACAACATTTTGGCACTTAAACATTATTTACTTCAATAAGTCTTCAATTATAGTACGATAAAAAAATCGGCTTGACAGTAGCCTTTGAAATGTAAATCGATAATTTGTTTTTGTACAGGGCGAGTCTTAAATAAGTGCAAATATTTTCGGGGCTGGTAGATCTCAATAACAGTAACATATTTTCTCTTTACCGTTTTCGAGCAACCGTTTTTTTCTGTATTTGCAACTCTTTCAGTGCCGTAACCATGGTAATATCAGAGATTATGAAATTATACCGTGGAAAAAATTGCGGTGAACAGGCAGTTCCAAAAAGTTTTCTAAAATGGCACGATTTCCAACATTTTATTTCCGAAAAAAACTCATAGAGGTGTCCCTGGAGTCGAAATGGGTTTAGTTGAACCGCCTCTGAAAACATATGCACTTATTTAAGACTCACCCGGTATAAGTCTTGAAACCCTATTTTGAAAAAAAAAAAATACTTAAAACGTATTAGAATTAACATCATTGTGTAATTGCCAATTTAAGGTTGTGCTTACGGAGATGGACTGCTCACACTAGAAGAAGCAGTCCTTGTTGCTCATGCTCGAGGCTTGTCAACCAAAAAAGCAAAATTAATCCCAGGATTGATGGCCGCTGTAGGTCTTTCTTTAGAACAGATCGAAAAAATACTCCCTAAAGATATCTACGTCGCTTGTCACAATTCTTCTAATAACGTTACTATCTCTGGTCCAAAAGAGTCCGTAGAAAACTTTGTAAACTCGCTAACGAAAGAAGGATATTTCGCTAAAATCGTCAATACACTTGGTGTAGCTTTTCACAGTAACTATATCGAGAACGCTGCGGTATATTTTATTGATATGCTCCGAAAAATCATTCCTATATCGAAAGAGCGTTCGAAAAAATGGTTACCTTCAGCGATTTCAGAAAATGAATACGATTCTTACCTGGGAAAGTTTAATTCTGCCGAATATCAACATCACAATTTCCTCAATAGGTAAGTAGTACGTTTTTCTTCTTTTTTTAGGGTTCCGTACCCAAAGGGTAAAAACGGGAACCCTATTACTAAGACTTCGCTGTCCGTCAGTCTGTTACAAAGGTCTATCTTATGAAGCGTTATAGCTAGACAGTTGAAATTTTCACAGATAATGTATCTATGTTGCCACTATAAGAACAAATACTAAAAACAGAATTAAATAAATGTTTATAAATTAAAAAGTACTTTCAGTAAACATTATCTTTTAAGTAAGAATTTTACATAGAATCTTTGAAGTCATCGGTGACTGCGTAGTTAAAGCGTTGGGACTTTACGCTGCTATGACGTTGGAGCCGTAGTAAGGCAGGTTCGAAGGCGACTTTTTTTCAATCGTTTTTTTTTATTTTTACATATTTATTTTTACTTTTTACATATTTATTATTGATTAATACAATTTTTAGTAATGTGTTTCTTCATTTTTTTTTTAAATTACTTATACGTGCATTCAAAATTTCAGCTAAATCGGAAAAAAAATTATAATAATAGTGTCTAATGTTGTATAGATAATGAATGGTACGGAACCCTTTGTGCGCGAGTCCGACTCGCACTTGACCAATTTTTTTCTATTACCCACTATTTTGAATAACAAAAATATTTTTTAGAGTCCGATTTCAGCAAGTTTTGGCGAAGGTTCCTGAAAATGCTGTTCTAATAGAAATAGCTCCCAGAGGACTTTTCCAATCAATTCTTGCTAGAAGTTTACCCAAAACTGTCACTAATGTCAGCCTTTCTAGTAAAGATGCTGAAGACAACTGCGAATTTCTTCTATCGTCTATCGGAAAGTATGTATTTAATCTAAAGTTTTTGAAAGAAAAATGTGTATAGAAATCAAGTTACGTTACATTTGTCGTGAAATAATTTCGTGAGTAACTTTTCCTAAAACATTATCATTCGATCAGAACTATGTCTCCTGAGCATTTTGTTTTTTGACTCATTGCAACACATGCCTTTTTTAATTTTAAGAGCGAAATGAACTTACACCAACAACTTGCAATTTTTTCAACTACCATTATGATGTTATTTTTTAATATCACGAGGTTGCTTTGGTGACTATTGTCGTAATGTCATATCGACACTAATTAGAACTCTATATTAAAATTAAAAAAAACGTTAAAAATTAACGATACAGGCTGAGGATATTAAAGAAATAACTGTAATAACTAACTGTACAAACAAAAAACTTGTAAAAAATACCCGACCACTGTATTGCATCCCCCAGCTGCTATAACTGTCTCTAGACGTCGGCGTCGGCTCATACTGTTAATGAGGTCGTTAATCGTTACTAGGTCCTCACAATAGGAATTGACCTCAAATCCAAGGAGGCAATAGAGAAAAAGGGACATATCCTCTATGATAGATACGGGACAACACCGGTATCAGGTCTAAGGAGAGACCAAGTTAAAGAGGTGGAGAAAATGGAGACAGATCCTCCAGCCTCCACCTTACGGGTTCCTCAGCCGGAGGCAAGCTCCTCGCCTGTGAAGAGCGACACGGAGGGCCAAACTCCAACCGTGGAAGGGTGTGTACCCTCGGAGGAAGAACTGTTGTCAGAGGAGGATGGGAAATATCCTGTCCTCTCTAAAACAAGGGTATGATGGGTTATAGATTGTGTGACGACTCAAGGAAGGGGGGCACAATAGATCTTTAAGGTCGCAGTTATTAACCCCCCTCTTACTCATTCTACATTCTACTGTTAATAAGTCGGTAAATATATTGTGTTATGTTTTCCCATTCTGCTTCAAGGACTAACCGAATATTCATAATTTCAGTCATCTTCAAAAATATCAATGACTTTTGCACAATCTTCGACACTAAGAACCATATTCAATCGTATAGAACAATAATCACCAAAGCCACCTCGTCATTATGAAGAATAACATCAAAAACTAACGATATAATTGAAAAAATTGAAAAATGTTTGTGACAAATTCATTTTGCTCTTAAAAACCAACCAAAGCATGTCGTGTTGACATGAGTCAAAAAACAAAATATTCAGGAGACATGGTTCTGATCGAAAAATAATGTTTTAGGAAAATTTTCTCATGAAATTATTGCAGAGGGTGTTTTAAAAATAGGGTAAAAACAACTCTTTGATTAACACTGTATAATAAATCAAAAATATTAAAAATAGAAAAATATAACATTTTAAACTTGACCTAAATTTTTTCCGTTGCGTTTTTTGCATCTGAGTGTAATTCTTGAGCTGATTCCATGATCTATCTCCAGCATAGGGATAAAAAACTACTTATTGCATAACTCTTTTTAGGGTTTATTCGTCAACAAACATTCCAATTAATCTGACAGCTATTAATGACGAAGCTCCTTTACCACTGGATGCCAGAACTCCATTTATTTCGCCATTGGTACAATGGGACCACGCATCCAACTGGGCCTACGACACATTTGTTCCTGAGAGGACAGAAGGCAAGATGTTTAGTTTAAATTTGAGAAGTAACGAACATAAACATATGTGGGGTCATGTGGTAGATGGCACACCTGTTTTTCCAAGCGGTGGCATTCTGGTTTGTCTATTTATTTATTTTTTTATTTGTTTTTTCCTATTTTATTTGTGTATATACACTTACTGGTACGAAATACGGACACCTTAAATTTTTCAGGTATTTTGAATTAAAGTTTTATATAGGGTGGCGCACCTCATTCCCATCGGTTGATTATACGAAAACAGAAAGATGTAGAAACAATTTTTATGGGTCTGTACATGTAGAGAGGTAATGTGCATAATTTAAAATTATTATGTAATATACAGGGTGTGTCAGAACTAAGATCCCTACCAAAATTATATTTTTTCTTATGGAACACCCGGTATTTTATTTCATTTTTGGATTTTTGGGCATAAAATAAGGCATTTATTATAAAGGTTTGTTATGTTTAAATGCTTTCGTTTATGATATATTTTGATATATTTAAATATGCATGCTATTACAAAAAAGTTTGTCAGCACCCTGTACATTACTTTTCAGAGTTAATTCTTGTGCTGACTTTGAAACCAGAGAAATAAACTTTACTAAAAAATTTGATCGCTTCCTTCAATATATACGGGGGTATCAAAAATTGCTGGTCTATTTTAAATATTTATTTTACATAAAAACTTCGTTATTTCAAATGCAACACTATGTATTTTTTTTAAATATGTCGAAGCAGATTTAAATGCTCTTTCAAACTATACCTATCTGGCTCAGATTTTAAATAAAAAGCGATTTTTCAATAAAATGACAATCAAGATGGCTGGTGCCGCCATGGCAATTTGCTAGTGAATTTGCTGATGTCGCCATGGCAATTGTCAAGAAATTCCTGTTTGGATATCTTTGAGCATAAACCCTTCAGGCCAACAATCAATTATCCTCACAAAATAAAATCACTAGTAACATATCCATTCCTTCGGCCAGCAGATACTGCTTCATTTTTCCTGATAAAATAATAAATACTTACTTATTAACCTTATTGGTAAGGTAAAATAAAATTACACTAAATCACCACAATACACTAAAACACTTTTACTTTTACACTGGACGCGCGTTTCGCTAACCATGTTAGCATCATCAGCAGATGATTATAAAACTACAACTAGTAGTAGTAGTAGTTTTACTACTAGTAGTAGTTAGCGAAACGCGCGTCCAGTGTGAAAGTAAAAGTGTTTTAGTGTATTGTGGTGATTTAGTGTAATTTTATTTTACCTTACCAATAAGGTTAATAAGTAAGTATTTATTATTTTATCAAGAAAAATGGTTATTAACTGTCACTAGCAAATTGCCATGGCGACAATAACCATCTTGGTTGCCATTTTATTGAAAAACGCTTTTTATTCAAAATCTGAGTCAGATAAGTATAGGAGATCCTAATACAGTTTGAAAGAGCATCTAAATCTGCTTCGACTTATTTAAAAAATACATAGTGTTGTATTTGAAATAACGTATAACGTATAGCATAAAAGCATAAGTTTTTATGTAAAATAAATATTTAAAATAGACCAGCAGTTTTTGATATCCATTGTATACATTTAAGGAAACAATCAAATTTTTTTTATTAAAGTTTATTTCTCTGGCTTGAAATTCAGCACAATAATGAATTCTGAAAAGTAATGTACAAGGTGTTTACAAACTTCTGTATTATAGCATGCATATATCTTTAAATATCTGAAAAGCCAAAGCTTTTAGACATAGTAAACCCTTATAAGAAATGCCTTATTTTATGTCCCAGAATCCAAAAATTAAATAAAATACCGCGTGTTCCATAAGAAAAAATATAACTTTGGTATGGATCTTAGTTCTGACATAACCTGTACATTACAAAATAATGTTAAATTATGCACATTGCCTTCCCACATATACCCATAAAATATTTTGTTTCTACATCTTTCCGTTATCGTATAATCAATCGAGGCGAATAAGGTGCGCCACCCTGTATATTGTGTTTTGGTGGACCGATTCTAATGATTCTTTAAGCAATTTGTAGCTAGATTACTTGACTGTTTAGTATCTCTTTCTAAATGAAAAATGAAAGTTGCAATCAGTTAATTATACGGGGGTACACAAAACTCGTATAATTGACAGATGGAAACTTTTACTAATAAGTCAAATTAATAATACAGCTACATATTGTTAAAAAAATCATCAAAATCGGCCCACTACAAAAAAATATATAAAACTTTAAAATATATTAATATTTTAATGTTCCCGTTTTTCATGCCGGTAAGTGTATTTTCAATTGTTTTAATCTGTAGTAATTTCGAAGATAATAATTAAACTTATATTTAGTTTTTAGTATGGTCCACATATGCTTGCAACAACGAACTGAAACTCGAACAATGTCCAGTTATTTTCGAGTTTGTCCAGTTCCTCCGACTTGTCAATTTAACCGACACGTTAGAGTTTTATGTTAACATTTTCACTTCCGGGCACTTCGAAGTCTTGCATAATCACGAACTAATAGCTAAAGGAAAAATATCGACTCTCCAATCGTCAGAAAAAACATCAGAACAAGATTTGGGCAAAACCCTCATTGGTTCAAAAGACATATATTCAGAATTTCACTTGAGAGGATTGGATTACAGTGGGTTATTCCAGAAAATTGAAAACTTAGATATTTCTGGACTAACTGGCACAATAGTTTGGTCGCAAAATTGGGCCACTTGTATAGAATCGATAATTCAGTGTATTATTTTTACTGAACACAACGATACTGTCAAACCAAGTAGTATTATTGAAGTCAAAATTGATCCTTTACAACATAAAAATGCCATAAGCAAGAAACGGTTTTTGAAATACTCCTACAACAAATTTAATAAGACTGCTATATGTGGCGGAGTGCGAATAAAAAATATGACATGTTCCAGAGTTCAACGTAAAGAAAATTTGAACATTCCGTACCTGCATTATTTCGATTATGTTCCTTATGCAATAAAATATCAAAGGCAGTTATCAAATCAGTTAGAATTTAGTTTGTGTATAACTCTGCAAATTGTACATGAAAACCGAACAGCTACACTTACACAAGTTTCGGAGTTGTCATGTTCAGAAAACAATTTAAATAATCAAATTTATCACTTAATTCACAGGAAATACTTTAGAGTTTTTAAGTATTCTTTAGTCAAAGATATCAGTGAATTAAAAACCAATCCGGATTTACTAATTCTACCTGTTTGTCAAGCTATACCTATTAATGGAGCACTAAACATGTTAGGGCAAGCAACTTTTATATTTTGTAAAGTTGAAAGTAAAGACCTGAACAAATTAAGCGATGATGTTATCTTTGAATGTTCGGAAGGAGAGTTTAGTTTTGTTTTGCTTAAAAAAGCTGTCGAAATATCAGAGAAATTTACTGTTATAGAAGCTGACAACGGTGATTTTAAGTGGATCGAAAAAGTCAAAGAAAGTTTATCAAAAATTGACCACACAACATACTTAATAAGTAAATCCTTAAATACTGGACTAATAGGATTTTATAACTGTTTGAAAGAAGAGCAACAATCAACTAATTTGAGAATTTTCATCATAGATAATTCGGTGGATTTTTATCCAACGTCTGATTTTTATTCTGCTCAAGTTAAGAAGAATCTCGGTATAAATATTTATACCAAGGGACAATGGAGCTCTTTCAGAATGATTCCGTTAAATGAATTAACGTTTTTCAAAAATCCGGTAGATGTCGCTATGGATATTTTCGATAACAAAATAGAATGGACGGAATTCAACACTTTACAGTAAGAAAAATATAAAAGTTCTATAATTATTTACGTATTAAGTGTGATAGGAGGACGATGGGCGTTATCGTATCATCATCATCTTCAGCTTATTCAACCATTTTCAATTATGGTGTAGCCTCCATCACATATTTAGATACTCTCTTTGTAGTTGGGGTTTGGTTTGGTTTGGTTTGTTGCTTTCTATTGTTGGCTATGCGGACCCAAGTTATGCATCTAATTTCCTAATATCATGGTCCCATCTCAGGTTTGGTCTTTTTCTAGGTCTCTTAATTCCTCGTGTCGTCCATCTGTTGTCCGTCCTATTTGCCAGGTTTCCTGCCCACTGCTACTTGAGGGATTTGATTCTATGGATGACATCTATTACGTGTGTCTTTTGTCGTATCCACTCTATTCTTTTACGATCTTTCTTGGTTATTCCCAGCATATTTCATTCCATTGAGCGTTGTGCGACCTGCAGTTTCCTACATTATCGTATACTAATGTGTAATTTTTTAGTTCATCATTATTTCAGAATTTTTGTGGATAATATTTATTACAAAATGTTTATGCATCAATGGCATTTGTAGGTTAATAATGCCCGGAGGGTATCAAGATACCTATACAGGGTGAGTCTTAAATAAGTGCAAATATTTTTAGGGCTGGTAGATTACAGTTGAGGGTTGGAACCATATACATATAACTTTATATACTCAGCCTAATCTCTAAAAACTGAAGCCCAAACAGTGAAAGAGAAATATGGAATTCTGCATAAGTCTATTTCACCCGGATGGTCACTTAATTGCGCATGCCTTACCTGAAGAAGTTTTCATTGGTCCGTGTTTTTAAAGGGAAGTGGTAGACTGACATTTCACCTAACCTTCAATTTTATTTATATTTTTATTATTTATAACACATTATCATGGAGTTGGAAAAATATCAAAAAATAGTTGGAAACAATAAACTAAACAAAATCACTTTTTTACGCGCACAAATAAAAAGTAATCCAAACAGAACAAAAACAACAACCAATCGGAGTTTGGCGCAATCGCAGTTCAATCGATATCCGGGTGAAATAAACTTATGCAGCATTAAATATGGAGCTGAGTTATGTTGTATTTTTCTTACGGCACGGAAACAGCACACGGGGTTAAATAGGGAACACTGAGTATATATAGTTATATGTATATGGTTGGAACCTTTGGTGTTACACAGCAAAACAAAAACACTAAATCACCACAATACGCCAAAACACTTTCACTTTTACACTGGACGCGCGTTTCGCTAACCATGTTAGCATCATCAAAAAGTAGTAGTAGTTTATAATCATCTGCTGATGATGCTAACATGGTTAGCGAAACGCGCGTCCAGTGTAAAAGTGAAAGTGTTTTGGTGTATTGTGGTGATTTAGTGTTTTTATTTTTGGCTGGTAGATCTCGAGAAAGGAAACATATTTTCTCTTTGCCGTTTTTCAAATAAATCCAAAATAACCGAGTTATTTTACCTTGAAAATGTCCAAAAAAAATGATTTTTTGATAAAATTTTGACTTTTATTCATTAAAGATTCACCCTGTAAAACTTATTTAAGATTCACCCTGTATATATTTATTGCGCGATGAGCATGTAGAATGTTTAGGAGGGGAGTTGATCGCCGCGACCTTACAGACCTATTGTGTGTTCGCCTTTCTTGAGTTATAACGAGTTATAACTCATCATACAGGCTCAAGGCTTTAACAAAAGCCAGTATCTGAGACGGCTCCACAGAGGCCAGCTCTCCATCCTCGACATCAGCCGTACCAGAGTTCATGGCACGAATGGTCGTCGTCTCGGCGCACTCAGTGATAAGGTGTTCTGGTGTTTCCCCATCTTCCCCACAGAATCTGTATTCGCCGTTGCTTCTCAGCTTCAGCCTACTGAGGTGTTCGTTGGGGAGACAGTGTCCTGTTAGAAACCCCGTGGACAATCCGTATATTGTTTTTACTTAAATCAAGGAAAACCTTTGATTTTTCTCGGTCGTAAGTTCTGAGGAACTTTTTCGATGAGCGTGAGCGATGAGCATCATTGTGTGTCACAGTATCGGAGTAAAAAAAATGACTTTTTGTGCCTCGCCTGTATGTCGTACAGCCTCGCCATAAAAATATTATTTATACTCCTAATAAAACAATATGCTATTATAGAGTTCTATATAATTTTTAGAAACAAGTTTGTGATAGTTAAATATGCGACTTTAAGTAATTGTGATACAAAAATGTACAAAAGCGATTATATTAATGCCAGTTATGGCTTTGGTATGGAATTTTCTGGAAAAACAAAATCTGGAAAAAGTATTATGGGAATATCAACAAGGGGCTGTTTGAAAACTACCGTTGAGCCTGAAATATTTTGGATTTTGCCGGATAGCTTGAACATTTCATTAGAAGCAGCTTCGACGATTCCTTTAGATTACACCTTGGTAAGTTTATAGTTCGATAGAAAACAAAAACGGCGTCACAGAAGTCGTTGAAAAAACATTTCAGTTTAATTTTTATTATTTTTTATTGGTGAAATGTTTTGGAATTATTTAGAATTCTTGTTAAAAGAGAAAAAAAATATATAGTATAGTTCATACCAATTAAACTTATAGTCAGGTGATTATGGCACAGCGTTGCCCACTTTTACATATTTTCTTTCAATCAAAATATTTTAGGAAACAGAAATAAATTAATTATAAATATATAAACAGTTATTATTTACATCAACAAACTGACCTTTTTAACAGCACTTAAGGGACATAAAGGGTCATTACTACCGCTTTCCCGTTCAAAATTTTCCAATAAGGTTGCGATGAGTTTTTTACATTGACTATTAAGCTATTTTATACACTTCGTACTAAAAGAGGTTTAAAAAGAACAATGTTCGACTGCGCGGTCTGCTAATAAAAAATTTCAAGCATTAAAGTATCAAAACACAATTCATTTAAACCAAAAACTCCTCATACAAAACTAAAGTGTCAAAACGAATGACAATCTCAGGTAATAAATAAATAAATAAATATGAAAACTTGACATTTTTTATATCAGAGCTACTATCTGAATCCCCAGCGGGAAATTTAAGTTTCAGTTAGTTAGCCCGGCGCCGAATATGTCCATGATTGGCTACAATGAATTTAAATATCGCGCCCTCGATTACGTAACTAAAAGTTTAATTGGTATCGCTTATATTTCAGATACCTAATGTAGGTATTCATTTATCTGCTGATGTTATTAGAACACCATGTATAATGTCTCGTTAATTAGGGCCTCGGACGCTGTAAGAGATATGAAAGAGGTCAAATTATGGAAGATTTTTAAATTTAGAAAACCTCAAATACTTTTAATTCGTCATTTTGTTGGACATAAAATTGTACAATTTTTCGTGGCTCTTCTCTATCTCTTTTAGTTTCCTAGATCACAACGGGTACTCGTATAATTTCGGACACCCTCTATATACAGGGTGGTCCGAACTGTATTCCGGAAACTTCGGCAGCATGTTCTGCAGATAAAAATAAGCAAGTTTTTTGACACGAGAAATTTGATTTTGATGTTAATATGACTCCTATTTGTAGGGAGCCCCACCTACATGTGTTTTAACTGTTTTAAAGAGTAATAACTTTTTCTCCGTACCTGTATAAGACTACTTAGTGAAATAATATACATTTCCGTGACTTTCTACGTAAAAAATGTGTCTTGGTAAAAATCGCTACGAGCAACCGTTCTCAAGATATTTAGAATGAAAATAGTCAATACATGTCATTATTACAAAAAATAAACACGTTGAATAGATAGTTATTGTACTGAAATAAAATACATTTCGAAAATTTTTATTTATTTATTTTAATCATACATTTATCTGCGGAAAATGATGATAAAACAGTTTCTGTTGAACTTTTGGCACAAAAACATTTAAGATTTATGATTTCGGTCTAATAAATATTTAGTCAACATGTTTATTTTATGCCAATAATGACAGGTGTTGATAAATTCGATTCCAAATATCTCGAGAACCATTATTCGTAGCGATTTTTACAAAGAGAACTTTTTTAGGTAAAAAACGTCGAAAATGTATATTTTTTTACTCAGTAGTTTTATACAGGTACCGACGAAAAGTTATTATTCTTAAAACAAGTTAAAAAATATGTAGGTGGCGCCCTCTACAAGTAGGAGTCATATTGGCATCAAAATCAAATTTCTCATGTTAAAAAACTCTCAGATACAAATTTTCATCCAAATATTGACATTAGTTCAGAAATTATTTGGAAAAAATCGAAATAAAAGTGAAACTTCTACACCCTGTATCTCCGAAACTAAGCATTTTAGGACATACAATTTTACGAACTTTTTTACATATTCTTATCTGCAGAATATGCTGCCGAAGTTTTCGGAATACAGTTCGTATAATATTTTTTTAGGTTTATTATGGAGTTTGTTACCTCGGCAAACTAAAACCAAACGACACTATTCTTATTTCTGGAACAGACAACTCCAGTTTAGCAGCAGTATATTTAGCTGTTGAAAAAGGATGTAAAGTTATCATAGATATATCAACATCCCAAGAACTTTCTCGTCTACAAGATTTTCTGGATGATTATAACAAAGTAAATACTGTATGTTCCGAGAACGATACTTTTCTAGAAGAAGTTCTAAATTTGACATCCGGCAGTGGTGTCAGTTTGTTATTTACCAGCGACGAAAGAAATATAAACAAAGCTTACGTGGACGTTTTGGCTAACAACTGCAAGTTAATAACTCTGTATTATAACAGATCCGAAATAGATAGTGATATTTTGAATGCGTTCAGCTTGAAACGGTGCCAAATATATAGAATTAGCTTAAAAATGTTGTTGGAACACGAAGACGAGACCGCCTTAAGCCTTATAAAATCGGCGATTCAATTATACTTAAATAAGAACGCATTAAAACCTTTCCATTACACCTCAGTGAACTCTATGGAATCTGCTGACGTCATGAAATATTTGGACAGTGACCCAGAGAAAAAACTAGTCGTAAATATGGTTAACGATACGTTTACAAACGTTAAAAGAAGAATTATTTTTGATTCTGTGAAGTCCTATATTATTGTCGGAGGTTTAGGAGGTATCGGTATGGAGTTAGCTAAATGGCTCATTCGGCATGGAGCCAAAAAAATAATTTTAAACTCCAGAAGTACTGCTTTAAGTAGCTACAAGCAATACTTAATAGAAAATTGGAAAGTTCAGGGAGTTACTGTAATAGTTAACTCATTCCCTGCTCAAACTATTGAAGGAGCAACTAAATTACTAAAGTCCTCCTCCGATTTAGCACCAGTAGGTGGAATTTTCAATCTAGCCATGCACTTAATCAATAAAACCTTTATTAATCTATCACCAGATGATTTCCTTCAAGTCGTGTCACCAAAACTACACATAACCCTAAACATGAGCAATTTATCTGAAAAAATGTGCCCAAAACTTGAGCATTTCGTAGTATTCTCAGCCATGGCAGTTTTGGGAACTCAGGCGGTTTCTAATTTTAGCTTCGGAAACTCTGCAATAGAATTGGTTTGTAAAGAAAGACAATCCAAAGGGCTACCAGCCTTGGCTGTGCAGTGGGGGATGATTGGTGATGTTGGATTCACCACAAGAGCAAATCTTAAAAAGAGTCAAATAGATAATTTGCATAGTATTTCGTCTTGTCTGGAAACTTTAGAACAGTTGATGTTGCAGGAGCAACCTGTTGTGTCCTCTTCGGTATACCTGTCGAGCAATGACAGTGATGACAGTGACGAGCAAAACAGTGGCGTTTTGGGTCACATAGCCTCGATTTTGGGTGCAAAAAGTACGAAAGAGTTGGATATGAATATTCCGCTGAGCAATTTAGGAATAGATTCAATATCCTCATTAGAAATTAAGAACTTTTTAATAGAATTTTTAGGAATCGAAATTGTAGTATCGGAGATAAGAAAACTAACATTAGAAAATATTAAGAATTTACAAATCCAAAATTCTTGACTTTTTAAATTGGTAATTATTTTATATAGTTTTGTAGTACATTTATATTATTGAAAAAAACTCAAAATTTAAGTGAGGATGTTATTATTGTATATATGAAAATTGACATTTTGACTATTAAAAATTTACAGAACAAAATTTATTGAGCTGAAATTGTTAATAAATAGATATATTTTTGTAGTGTATGATTGTAATATATTTTGTTACATTCAGTTTAAGGCTTTTTTTATTTTACCTTAATTAATTAATTATATTTTTTAAAGTGATCTAACTATAGAATATTTGAATTATTCAAACGAATTAAAATATTATATGTAAAGTTTGGTTTAATAAATTTATTATTTTAGAAATTATTAGTAAAATAAGTTCCTTTGATTCTAAGACTACCATAAACTTGGGTATTGTTGTAACTGCAACATAACTTTGGTACATTCCGCATATTTTCACATTGTGTAATGTGTATGTCCGTCATTTTCAAAAATAAAGTTATCTCTACTACATGCTATTAAAGGGTAACTAAAATACGACTAAATAAACCAATCTGATCATTCTGCATTGAACACAGCATGTTTATTAACATTTCTACACACTACATATAGGTGTATTTTACGAATTCTGTATACTTTCTACACTACAAACGGAACTGTGAGTTAGTATATCTTAAAACACTGTTATTTCCCTCATATTTTACGCAAATAACGTTTTTTTAAATGACTAAATGACACTGGGAGAAAAATATATTTGCTTCTAAACAAAATTTTATCTTTGCGTGCCAATTTTGGTACTGTCTCCAAGTTTCCTTACGAATAATATTAATTAATATTTAGTTCAGTATGTATCCTAGCCTTAATATCATTTTGTACTAAAGTTGGACATGGTATTTTAAAAGTTCTTTTTTAAAGCAGTTATTTAGTCTATTGTATGTGTGAATCTTAATTATTAAGGTTAGTGCTACCATTGCTTACCCCTAATGTCAGTAACAGGATGTTTTTTAGAAATCAAATATATCTTGTAAATATGGGCGTTTACGCAGATTGCGGAATAACAAGAGATTAAAAGAGGAAACAGGACATTTTTGATGAAATTATTGGACTCCCAAAATTAGGGTGCACATAGATTGGCCTTTTTATTTAAGAATAATACATTTTTTCCTGCAATATTTCAGACAATAAGTCGTAAACTTTCGTTGTACCTAAGAAAAATATTGTTTTATTTTTATGATGGATATTTAATCATTAGAATTTGTGAAACTAATATATTTGCTATCTGTATTTGTTAGTTCTTTAGTAAAAAAAATCTTCTTATTCAGTTTTTTTAAAAGAAAAATACATTTACTGCCCTAATATTACGAAAATATATTTTCTCAAACTTTTTTAGCTTCATTTATGGCTGTGTATCATTCTTTGGTACAAAATACTTCTTTACGGCTATTTACGTGTAAAATTTATCTATCCCAAAGTTATACCGACAGACGGTTTACTTTAGGACAACAGTGCAATAACTAAGGCACTAAAAATGTCTATATCTATGTGGTTGATTCATCTCTCCAGAAAATCCTATATGGGTATTTCGCCACTGCAGGAATATCTACAATCAATCTAAGACTTGTCAGCATTCATGGGACACGGGGCACAGAATAAATTTTAATAACGCCAAAATTATAATGAAAGAAGCGATAGCCTCTAAAAGAAAAATAAAAGAGGCTTTTTTAATACAATCTAATAAAAATAAATGTATTGCTCATGCATCTGTAGATGTTAGTAATGTATATAACATAAATAAACATAACGTACGTTTACAAAAATTAAAAATAATCAGACAGAAGGTTTGGGGCTTTTTGGTTTTACCTTATTAGGTAATTGTTATCAGGTAGTAATAATTGTTAATTTTGAAGTTTAACTTGATATAATGCCATTCAGGGGCCGGAAAGTGAAATAGCAAAAGCGATTCCACGGTTTCCACGGCAATTTCAAATAAAATAGTTCCAGCCTCGGGCGCTAGGTGGTAGTGCAATTAATTTTTAGGTTAAGAAATTGCTACTAGTTATTGCCAGATGGCGTTCAATCAGATTTTTTTTGTAGTTTCCATAGTTTCCAACGGTCATTGTCATACTATTGTCAAATTTTCAAAAAATATTGTCGTTGTCATAACGCCAATCATCAAAAATGATTATCAAAACTTTAATAGTATAAGTCTTTTATCTATGATCAAAACGTTTTTCAAACTATAAGTTGTTATATGTGTTTTTATTAGACAATTCCTTTTGTTTGTGGCCCTAAAAATATAATGTAAGTCTTTTATTTTTGCCATCATTTAAGTACCTATTTATATTTACTCCATTTACAAAACTTTGGGCGTATTACGTCGGTTTTGTTTTATTATAATAAACGATGTTTAAATATTTGACTTATAAATAAAAACTTTTAATAATAAATAATATTTACACATGTTTGGCTTTAATTTTATTTAATAATTGTATAAATTATACTGTTAAATCTTATTTTTTACACATCACAACGATACTTCTTATTAGTATTGTTGAATTTGTGTAAAAAATAATATTTAATAATCAAATTTAATTATTTTAGAGCAAAATTCAATAAATACGATCATTTAAAAAGCCCGCGCTTCGATCCGTTTAATACAAGCCCTACTCAATAGATGGCGCCACTTCTGTAGGACCATTTTTCAGTATGGCAGAGTCCATTCTTTTTCTAGCTAGGTATATTCTTTGATGCCATTTTAACAGAACGTCAACGGTTTTTGTAGACGTATCTGTTTTAAAAAAACTAAGGTGTTCTCGAATAGTTGAATTTAAGTATTTTAAATAGTTTTTTTCTTTATTCTTGGTATTTTTTTTGCTTCCGACGACGGAAAGAGATAAACTTTCCGAAACGTTAAGCATTTTTTTGTTTGTTAGGCAAATTTGTATATCTTTAAACCTAACTTCTGACAAGTAGTTTCCGTTTGGGATTAACGCAGAAGTGTTTACATAAAATAACTATTTTATTTTGTAGATTTTCTTGCAGTGACGAAATACCCATATAGGATTTTTTGGAGAACTAAAGTACTACTTAGCATGTTGATTTCATATTTTTGCTAATTTTTATATTATAATAAAGAGGTTAAATAAATGACACTGTTTAGGTTTAAATATTTCATATTACAAGGGACTATAAATATCAACGAAAAACCCTAAAAATCGTACCAAATCGTACCCGGTTTACGGTATATGACTACTGATAATTTATTAATTTAAAATATCGTCGGTGAAATGTGATAAACTGCTAACTCCATTATTCCTAATTTTAAAGGAAAGCAAAAAAACGGTACAAAAAATATGTACACATGTAGGAAGTATTTTCATGCGTTAATATGATAAATAAATAAGCATTTTATTTGCTGGAGAATAATAAAACTCAATATTTCGTGTTACTTAATTTTTTTCAGACACAATAGGGAGATAGCAGATATTCGTCTTGCAGAAATAAGAAATACAATTATATTTCTGGAGATAGCAACCTTTATTTTTTTGAAATGTTGAAAATGGAATTGAATATCACCCAAACAGATTTAGAAATAATGAATTAAATTTAAAAGATATGATATGCATAACCACATATTTATAATAGCGTCGGTCTAGAAGCAAAACATACAAGTCCAAAAACAAATAAATTTTAAATGCATTTTAAAGAACTGAACTTTTGGACTTATGAATATGAAAATAATTTATAAATTAAACTTATAATTCTTAGAAGATATGGCAGAATCTGTTTTTTTTACAACGGTAGTAGTCCGAGCTTGGAAAACAGTAAAATGCATGCAAACATTATAGGATGAAAGGAGCGCGATTTTATTAAATTTTTATCGCTTTTCTCCTTATTTTTTTTATTTTTATAAAGATCATTTACGTGGAAAAGCGTTAAAAAAAATAAAACTGATTAGGTATTATGGAAATTCTTGTACAAGTAAGTAATGTTATTTAAACTATTTATAGCACGCCGATGAATTGCTCGTATAATATAGTGAATTTCGTTTTTCCCCTTACCCTTTACGGATACCCCGTATTTACAGAACGGATCGACGCAGGATCGGACTGGCCATATATATATAACTATTAAGGGGGCCCCAGCTTTTGCGGGGCCCCCTTTATAGTTCATTATTTATTCTTAACAATATTTGCTTTTGCATTGCATTGGTTTACCTTGCATTAGGGTAGTTTCCTGATTTCTATACAGAGTGAGTCTTAAATAAGTGCAAATATTTTCAGGGCTGGTAAATCTCGATAAAAGAAACATAATATTTTCTCTCTGCCGTTTTTTTTTTCAAACAAATCCAAAACAACCGAGTTATTTACTTTTAAAATTTCCAATTTTTTGCTAAAATTTTGAGAATTATCCGATTTTCTTTCTTGTAAATTTAATCTACTACCAATGTTGCCATATTACAAACAAAGTATGTTTTTCAACTAAAAATTAAAAAAATTTCTAAAAATTTAAAAAAAAAATCCAAATTTTCAAAAAAAAAAATTTCGCACAAAAAATCTCATAATCCTGTTTCTTGGGTCGAAATATACTACCCCTAAAAATATTTGCACTTATTTAAGACTCACATTGTATATAATAGGGAAAAATTGACCAAAACGTAAGGCGAAAAAATACGCAAAAAAATCAACACGGGCTCCTCTTTACATTGTCACCCGGACCCCTTTGGCCTAGTGAGATCCTGGTGATCCTGGATCGACATACAGAAACTAAAGAAACATACTAGTAAGAAGTCCGTGTGTTTGCTTTAGCGTGATCGTAACGGAATTTACGGAGATAGCAGCATTTCGGTGGCTATTTCAGATCACTGGGAGTTAGCAGATATTATTGAGTTAGAATAGCAAATTTTCTTTAATGGGAAAAAATGTGTTTGCTTTTCCTACTGATAGAGAATTTTTTTCTCTTTCTAATGTTATAAAAAACTTATTAACGTAAAAAAATGGAGTTAGCAGGTTATCACGTTTCACTGACGATATGTTTCTCAGAGGATATTACAAATTCGAAAGAAAATATTAGAAGCGATAGGGTGTCAAGTCTCTGTAAAAGCCTATTTCCAGAGCGATACCGTGTGTCTAAATTTGTCTTAGAGCGAGTTTCTCATTGGCTCGAATAGAGTTCAGTATTATAAGCTATGTTCATGAATCAACACCACTCGTTAAAAATTAAAAAAAACGTATATTTTTACGTGTATTCTAATTATTAATAGATTCTGATTTTTGAACAAATAAATTAAGGAATGGCAGTTATGGTTAAACTATCTTTTAATACGTGTTTTTATATTATGATTATTAATAAAAAATCAATGTTAAATTGACATATTCAGATTTTTTTTAAAATGTATCCGTTAATTAGTTTGTGTGAATTATTCTTTGAATAAAAAGATTAATGCTATGCATGGCAGACGGATGAAGGGCCCTAGGGTGGGGTCCTTGACAGTTCTGTTTGATAATTCATTTGACACATTTGAATTTGATTTGAAATTGTGTGGATTTGACAGTCTTTACTGAGCTTATTTTATGTTATTTATTATTTATTTTACTACTGATAGTTGTTTAAAGGTAGTAAATCTAAAAGGAAATATTTTTTTTGTGGCAGAACTTAAATTAACATTGACACTATTGTGATTTATTGAAAAAGACTGTAAAATAGTTGGTTGTGTAGCGTGCGGTAGATCTCAGTCAAAAATCGAGGGAAATAATGGAATTTTCGCTAGTAAGTGACTATACAGGGTTGTTACCACACGACGGAGTTAGCTAAACGATTTTTTTTACAAATTGTAAGTTTGGGTTCGTTGTATTAGAGCTACAATTTGAAAAATATTTTTACAAGATACAGAGTGTCCCAAATAAATAAAAAATATCAAAGTTGTATTTTCTTAAATGGAACACCCTGTATATTATTACATTTATAGTTTCTACGATTAAAATAAAGGTAAGTTTGATAAAGGTTTATTACACTTAAACCTTACCGTTTTTGAAATATTTTCAATTTTGTGAAGTTGCAATCAAAATTTTAAGGCTTTTTTTCTCCAAGGCTATTAAAGTTTTTAATACTAAATATTCACTGAAGTTTATTTATCGATCAGTTATTGTGCTGCAATAATAAAAATTATACTACCTTATACAGAGTGTCCAAAATTTTATTTTAAATAATTAATATCTTTAAACGGCAATAACTTGTTTAATTTAAATGAAATACCCTGTATATTTTATGAGAATCAGATGCACAATTTAATTGTCTATCAAATTGTATTATACAATTTTTTACCTATCTCTTCAAGTTTCCGTAGAAAATGCATTTTCTTGTAATTTAAAACTCATTTATCAATATACCCATGGAATACTGACATTTTAGATTATTTTTAAAGATGTACGAAATTTTTAAAGAGTACAGATACTAATATTGTCGATATAGTTTGTTTATTTCATTAAAAATTAAAAAGAAACTGTTTAAATATTTGTTAAAGAGGACCAATTAATATTATTCCAGTATTCAAACTACATTAATTGACTGTTTGCGTTGATTAATAATAATTACTCCAAATACTAAAAAACTGAATTTTGTATGTGTATTAAACATTGTGGTAAAAAGTACACCTTAAAAATGATATTTCATTTTTTGACAAATGCTTATTTATAACAACAGAGATATTCATTTTCATCACTTAATATTATATTGATTTCTGATTCAAATCCACATTTATTTAGAATAATTTATTAACGAACATAATTAAGTATGTAATTAATTAGTATTTGAGCGGAAATAATAGTGGTATATTTAATTAATGGTATACTCTTTTATAAGGATTTAAATAGTTTTCTTTTTGCATATAAATGGGCTAGTAATATTTTCATTTTGCTAAAAACGATAATATTACTAGCCTGTACATCTTGTACCTTTGTTGCTTTAAAAACAATCTAAACTGTCAATAGTCCATGGGTATATTGATAAATGAGGTCTGAATTATCAGAAAATGCATTTTATACGAAAACTTGAACGGATAGGTAAAAGTGGTACATCGTAATACAATTTGATTGTATCAAAAATTAAATTGTGCATCTGATTCTCCTAAAATATATAGGGCGTTCCATTTAAATTAAACAAGTTATTGCCGTTTAAAGCTAGAAATAATTTAAAATATATTTTTAGACACTCTGTATGAGGTAGTATTATTTTTATTATTACAACCCAATAACTGATCAATAAATAGACTTCAGTAAATATTTAGTATTAAAAACTTTGATACCTTTGGTGAAATAAAGCCTTAAAATTTTGACTGCAATTTCACAAAATTGAAAATATTTCAAAAACGGTAAGGTTTAAGTGTGATAAACTTTAATCAAATTTACCTTTATTTTAATCGTAGAAACTAAAAATGTAATAATATACAGGGTGTTCCATTTAAAAAAATACAACTTTGATATTTTTTATTTATGTCGGACACTCTGTATCTTGTAAAAATATTTTTAAATTGTAGCTCTAATAGTCCTGCAACGAACCCAAAACTTACAATTTGTAAAAATCTAATCGTTTAGCTACAATACTCCGTGTCGTATGTGGTGAACAACCCTGTGTAATATACATACGTGTAGTAAACCGATCATTTATGAAATTCACTTAAAATTAACTAATTATACCGGGTGCGTTTCAAAAGTGGCTCACCTTTATAACTTTTTTATTTTTTCAGTTAAAAAACCGAGATCTGGTATGTTAGTATATGACATAAATTAGGATTGAGTGACGCATTCACTTGTCAACTTTTTAGTCACTTCCTGTGTCACCGGAAATGACTACAACTTTTGATTTTTAAAAACACCCTCTGTATTTTTTTACTTTATTCGATAGAATGACATATCATATGTCAATTATGACATTTTTGCATATGGTTTATTTGAAACTATACCTTGCGGTTTGTAACGAGAATTTCACTCGAAAATGAAGTGCGTGGTATCAAATTATTCGTAAAAAATGGTTTTTCCAAATATGCTAATGAGCCACCCTCGTTCCATTTGAAAAAATTGAGATATGATTAAAAATACGACTCGAGCATTTTCTAACTGGCCAGGACAAGACACTAAAAATATTAAACGATCAAATCTATTTTTCCAAGGCTCCTTGATTAAGAATTAGTGTTTTTAACATAGCCATGGTACTCTAGAGTGAAATTTAGAATACGATTTTTTATTAAGCGAGAATGTCAAAAGCTGACATTCTATTCAGTCATGTCATTTTCTATCGAATAAAAAAGTGCCATTTAAAAATCAAAAGTTGTAGTCATTTCCGGTGAAAGAGGAAGTGACCAAAAACAATTGAATACGTCAATCAATCCTAATTTATGTCATATACCTACTAACATACCAAATCTCGTTTTTTTACCTGAAAAAATAAAAAAAGTTATAGGGGTAAGCCACTTTTGAGACGCACCCGGTATACTACTATATTACTACTTGTCAAAGATAAGATGTAAAAGAATTTAGATACGTCAATTTGAAGAAATTATTTATTGCGACAAAAACAATACCTAACCCATTTACTGGGTTGTAGTTTTTGTCCTAGAAAAGGATATGCCAGAGTACTGACATTTAAGTGAGATTCTGCTAGTTTTCTTTCGACTGCAACTTATACAACTGATTAAATAATAAAATATCCATAACAAATTCTAAAATAGTCATAAAAAATTTTGGTTAAACGATTTCCGATCTCATTCAAAATTAAACTTAAAAGTATAGAACAGCTGGTATGTAAGTGTATATTTTTAACCATTCGATTCTAGTGTAGGATTCTGGAACGTGGCTGTTTTTTTGGAGTGGGGAGCTGTTGATCAACGGACCAATTTTCACATTGGAAAAGCAAGACAGTCAGCACCACAGGCTCCCCTGAGAAGCTGCTCATATTTTTCCACCGTAACACACAGGTACGTCAGAGTTTAAAATGTCTTATGTAACGTCGCCATATTGGGAGATATATCAGTGATGAAATAGTGAACGTAGTGATTTTCTAGTGATATCTACAGTGGGCTAAAATATTAAATATCGGGTTTCAGTGAGATTTCGGTATATTTTTTTTTAATTTTGTCTGTTTGGATCCATTTCTTTTCTACGACCGAAAAAGAAACGGCGTCAAAGAAGGCTGGGAAATGACGATCGGTATTAATTTTGGCGAGGTCAAGCCCTAGACGTGATTACTCGGCACGTAGTTTTTTTATTTTTTAATGGCGCTTACTGCCAGTTGACCTTATTATGTTTTAAGAACGATTTTTAAAAGCTGCAGCCGTCTTTGACGCCAATACGTACAATATGATTGAAAATAAAACGGCGTCAGCGATGGCTCTGAAATGGATATTACTATAATTATATACCGGGTGCGTCTCAAAAGTGACTCACCCCCTATAACTTTTTTATTTTTTCACATAAAAAAACGAGATTTGGTATGTTACTATATGACATAAATTAGGATTGATTGATGTATTCAATTGTTTTTGGTCACTTCCTGTTTCACCGTAAATGACTACAACTTTGATCTTTAAATGGCACCCTCGGCATTTTTTTTTACTTTATTCGATAGAAAATGACATTCTGAATAGAATGACATATCATATGTCAACTTTTGACATTCTCGTTTAATAAAAAATTGTATTTTGAAATTAAATCTAGAGTGCCATGGCTATGTTAAAAACACTAATTCTTAATCAAGGAGCCTTGGAAAAATAGATTTGATCGTCTAATGTTTTAGTGTCTTGTCCTGGCCAGTTAGAAAATGCTCAAATCGTATTTTTAATCATATCTCAGTTTTTTCAAATGGAACGAGGGTGGCTCATTAGCATATTTCGAAAAAGCATTTTTTTACGAATAATTTGATAGGTACCACGCACTTGGTATTTCGAGTCAAATTTTCGTTACAAACCGCAAGGTATAATTTCAAATAAACCATTTGCGAAAATGTCAAAATTGACATATGATATGTCATTCTATTCAGAATGTCATTTTCTATCGAATAAAGTAAAAAGATACCGGGGGTGCCATTTAAAAATCAAAAGTTGTAGTCATTTCCGGTGACACAGGAAGTGACTAAAAACAAGTGAATACGTCACGCAATCCTAATTTATGTCATATACAATATCAAATCACACACCAAATACATACATACCAAACATACCAACTCCCGTTTTTTAACTGAAAAAATAAAAAGTTATAGGGATGAGCCACTTTTGAGACGCACCCGGTATATAAAATTATATGGGGAATGTCATCGATCGTCATTTCCGAGGCAAATGAACGCCGTTTTTTTATCATACGGTATATAATGTTATATAAATACGAAACATATAAATTTTTCGTAATTTAAATTTAATATTAGACAAGGATATTAGTTATACAGGGTGAGTCTTATATAAGTGAGTCTTCTTGACGATATGGCAAATGGCAACATAGGTAGTAGATTAAATTTACAAAAAAGAAAACCCAGAAAAAATCCAGGGGCTCTGAAAATTTTAGCAAAAAATCATTTTTTTAGAAATTTTCAAAGTAAAATAACTCGCTTATTTTGGACTTATTTGAAAACCGGTAAAGAGAAAATATGTTTGTGTTATCGAGATCTACCAGCCCTGAAAATATTGGTACTTATTGACTCACCCTGTATATCAGTTCTTAAAACATATTATTGTGTTTTAATACTATAATATCGATAAAAGACATCACAGAGGCCTTTGAAATGATGGTAGATGAGAATTTACTCCGTGTTTTCGATTGGCTCTATTTCCTTAATACATAGTATATTAGTAACATTTAATTACATTGGTATTTCGAGCACGTAGAATCCACTATAATCTAGTGATTGTGAGTCAATAGCTAATAAACTTAACTGGAATACCTACAGTAATTAATAAGCAGTTGATTGTACTAAACTGATTAGTATAAGCCGCCGTTAAAGATACACAAGTGTATAGTACACTCAATTGGATACAAATATGTATCAATTGTTTAGAGCGCATTTTATTATAGCTCTTTATATTATTCAACATAATTTTTATTATTCAATTTTTTAATTATCAATCAAAATCGTTAGCCCTCCCTAGGAGCAGTTTTCAGTGTTTGAATTTTTAAGTGCATATGAGAATTTAACAGAAGAAATGCACAAAAAAAAACAAGTTTGCATATGTTTGGAAGTGGGGATAATAAATACCTTTACAAAATTAACCCAAAAGCTTCTCATACAACTTCCATGATTACGTTAATTCATAGAAACCAATCAGGTGCTTAATTTAATGTTCGATTAAGCATTGAATGTTCAACGCTTATTATCATTCAAACAATCAACCATAACTAAAATTGCCCATGCCCGCGATACAGTTTTTCCATTTTACTAATAATATTTTTGAAACTGTCAAAGATAGACATATTAACATTGTAAAGACTGTTCAGCCATCATTCACCGTTACGTCATCATTATTTGTCAAATATGAGTTTTAGGGTGTGTCTGAGATCAGTTTATATTGTTTAGAAATTTTTAAGTACGTTCCTATATTATTGATTGAGCGAGTTTTTTTTTCGAATTTTTATTAATTTTTTCTTAAACTCTTCATCGTTACGAACCATTTAGTTCCAATCCTTTGGACTGTTGAAATTATTATTTCTAAAGCCCCATCAGCAACTCGCTATATTATTCAAAAATACTATCAATTTGTACGAGACTGCTTTACCAGCTCATGAAGAGTAATTTATAAGCTTAGCAATGAGGTATGAGGTATTTTTGCAATAAAAAAAATTGAATTTTGTTTTACAAAATCAACAATCAGATTTTAATTTTGACATTGATCGATGTTCGTCAATAAAATTATAACCCTAAATCAAATGAGAATGAAAATTACTAAAAAGAGTATGCAGTAATTTACGAAATGCCGTAATGACGTCACCAATCACTTTTCATCGTGTTGGCAAGAAAGGATAAAAACGGGAACCCTATTACTAAGACTTCGCTGTCCATCCGTCCGTCTGTCACAAAGGTCTATCTTATGAACCGTTATAGTTGAAATTTTTACAGATAATGTATCTATTATGTTGCCGCTATAAGAACAAATACTAAAAACAGAATTAAATAAATGTTTATAAATAAAAAAGTACTTTCACTAAACATTATCTTTTAAGTAAGAATTTTACATAGAATCTTTCAAGTCCTCGGTGACCGCGTAGTTAAAGCGTTAGGACTTTACGCTGCTATGACGTTGGAGCCGTAGTAAGGCAGGTTCGAATCCTAGTCAAGGCGACTTTTTTTAATCGTTTTTTTTACATATTTTTACATATTTACTTTTACTTTTTACATATTTATTATTGATTAATACAATTTTTAGTAATGTGTTTCTTAATTTTTTTTAAATTACTTATACGCGCATTCAAAATTTCAGCTAAATCGGAAAAAAAGTTTATAATAATATAGTGTCTAATGTTGTAAAGATAATGAATGGTACGGAACCCTTAGTGCGCGAGTCCGACTCGCACTAGACCAATTTTTTTTAATGGTTTTGTATAGCAATTAAATAACATTATTTTTTAATACACATAAAGCTATGTATTTTAATGTATAAAATACACTGAAAGTCACCTAAATTCACCCAATCGTATTTTTTTATCAAAAAAGTTAAAATTATAGTATAAACAGGCGGTCCCACTCACTAAAATCGTCAGTATCGGTAATACAACACTGAAAAAATGTGTAGAAACCAAATTAGGTGACCGCTTGCGAGATATTCGTTTGGATCTTGGATTCGATCCAGATTTTTAGGTATTTTTATCCGGCGCGATGTTTTGTGTTTACGATTTCGCGCTGCTCTGGATAAAAATAACTTTCTGTAGACTTTTACAGCTCAAAACGGTTTCTGGGAAACGTTACTCTAGATGCCAGCGTTCAGAAATAATACACAGTTTTAAAGTAAATATATCCTTAATTAGAAAACAGATTGTTGAAACGGTTATAATTATATCTTTAACCAGAGTAGAGTTATTATTTATTGTTTTACAATAACGTTTCTAATACAGGATGACCCAGTATTCAGAAAATTATCTGCATCAGGTTTAGATTTTTAGCATTTTATCCCAATAATTTTTATAAAAATGCGGGTAACAATAGAGCACCTTTTCAAAATATTTTTATAGGTACCTATACCGGGTGAGCCTCAAAAGTGGCTCACCCCTATAACTTTTTTACGGTTTTAGTAAAAACAACGAGATTTGGTATGTTAGTCTATAACATAAATTAGAATTGATTGACGTATTCAATTGTTTTCGATCACTTCCGGTATTCGACATTTTCGCATATGGTTTATTTGCAATTATAACTTGCGGTTCGTAACGAAAATTTGACTCGAAATACCAAGTGTGTGGTATCAAATTATTCGTAAAAAAATGCATTTTCCAAATATGCTAACGAGCCACCCTCGTTTCATTTGAAAAAATTTCGATATGATTAAAAATACGATTTGAGCATTTTCTAACTGGCCAGGACAAGACACTAAAAACATTAGACGATCAAATCTATTTTTCCAAGGCTCCTTGATGAAGAATTAGTGTTTTTAACATAGCCATAGGCAGTCTAGATTGAATTTTAAAATACATTTTTTTATTAAGCGAGAATATCAAAAGTTGACATAAGATGTGTCATTCTATTCACAATGTCATTTTCTATCGAATAAAGTAAAAAAATACCGAGGGTGCCATTTAAAAATCAAAAGTTGTAGTCATTTCCGGTGAAACAGGATGTGACCAAAAATAATTGAATACACCCAATCAATCCTAATTTATGTCATATACTTACATACCAAATCTCGTTTTTTTATCTGAAAGAAGTTATAGGGGTGAGAGCCACTTTTTAGACGCACCCGGTATATATGATGCTCTTAATATACTTTTACACTTATATTGTATTTTTAGCCGACCATACCAATAGGTATGGTAGGATCGGTAAAAAAAAGTTTTTTTAATTTCACTCAAAATGAGTTATTTGGATCATAAATGACCTAAATACAAAATATTTTCATGGTGTCTGTCTGTCTGTCTGTCTGTCTGTCCGTCTGTAACACGATAACTCAAAAACCGCTGAACCGATTTTAACCAAATTTGGCACAAAAATACTGTGGCACCCGAAAATCTGGCCATTAGTTTTTGGTGGGGGTGGGGTGTTGGTAACGGGGTATGGGAGGGAGTTAAAAATTTAAAAAAATCGTAACTCCAAAATGACAGTAGCTAGCGAAACGCAGTTTTCAAATTAATATTAGGAATAATATTTGCAATAAAATTTGTAATAACATCAAAATCAGTCAAAGTCGCAGTTTTCGAGATATTAACATATTTTAGTATGGGCGGCTGGCTATACGTGCCTCCCGGCGCCATTTTTTTTTTAATGAAACGCTGTATGTGGCATTTGCAGAATTCCTTATTCTTATAAAAAAATCCTATTCTAAAAATACCCATAAATTAATATAATTTTTAGACGCACTTTAGGATCACTTTTAAGATTTTATCTAAAAATCTGCAAAATTACAAACGATTAATATTTCTCCATTGATGATATTAAACTCTCTATTTTTGTTAATATGACACTATTATAAAAAACAGAAGTGTTCTATTTTTTTTTACTTTTAGTACTATTTCATGATTTTTTTAACAACCTGTATTTAAAATCTATCAACTTTAATTCTTAAATTCACTTTTTTATAAACTTTATTATCTAGCTTATTATACAGGGTTAATTGAAAGGTTAAAAAATTAAATTAAAATTAATAAAAAAGAAATTTAAAAAACGTTAAAAAGTAATGATATAGGCTTGGTTTTTATAAATATTAGTAACACTAACAGAACTAAGGATAATGAAAGAAATAACTGTAATCACTAAATGTACAAACAAACAAAAGAGTAAAGTAAAGTAGAGTAAAAAACAACTCATGAGTCAAATACCAAAAGTTATAATAAACTAAGTTTATGAATTAAAGTTGATATATTTATACACAGTTTGCTAAAAAAAATCAAGAAAATAGAGCTAAAAATAAAAAATATAGCATTTTAAACTTGACCAAAAAATTTTCTGTTTTTTTTTTACATTTGAGTGTAGTTCCTATTAAACAAAAATATGGCATATCCAAAATTTGAAGCTCTTTCAATAATTAATAATAATAAATTATTTATATAATATGCTGCTATCTCGTTACCCGATTTTTTTGCCAAAAAAAAGATTGATGCAAGAATCTTGAATAACAACCTGTTTGGATTTAGTTCTGAATACTGAAACACACTGTAAATGAAGGTGACGTGAAATTGAAATGTTATTTTCTTTAAATAAATTATCCTTAATGAATCATGATATTAACTGTTTAATTTTGTTTCTCTACTTTTAGACCAACAAACACCTTCAAAATGGCGGACGATGAGGTTAGGTAAGTAAACAAACACAAGTTCTAATCTTTCACGTCACATTTATAATAATATTTTTCTATTTTTGTTTCATGTTCTACAGTATGATCGCAAAAAGCAGTCGCACTTCATAAACTTAAAAGGTAAATACCTAACAAGCATGTGTGTGCTGTGTTGTTCAAATACTTTGAAGATTTTGTAGGTTACAATTGGAATATATACAGTATGATCGAATAAAAATGACGTTACAGGAAGTTAGAATAACATAGCACGTGAACCCTCAAATTTAATGGTTCTTTCTTCTTCAAAGAGGATTTGTCACAGATTTGAATTCTGATA